AATAGTGGTAGTCTTCATTTGGTTTTAGAGACACATAATTCATAAGAGAAAACAAAGAGTGAAAGAGTTAGTCTAAAAGAGAGTTCTTATTAGTTGAAGGGAGGTGTTCTTTTTTGTGGAGCTTTAGACTCAACTCTTGTCCAGAGTTGTTGAGTTATACTTTGTGAAGGCTGTTGTATCCTGGAGGGGACAAGTCAAAGAGGACTACTGCTGGACCGGTGAAAACATTTGCTGCAGTGAGCTTGAATCTCCTTAAAGAGAGCGAGATATCCGCGCCTCAGCCTGAAGAGATTAATTTCTTCATTTTATTTTCAATTATAATCTTGCAATTTTACTATTTTGTAAGTTTTTCACTAACAATTCTTGATTTAATGAAATTGTGATTCAACACTTATATTTGTGGTTCAACATTTGGTTCAGATCACCATAAAAGAACAACAATTTTCTATGTATCTTCGTTTGTTCTTCTTTTCTTCCTTTTTTGATCTTATAAAGACTCTTTATATAGTTGTATGCTAGGATTTTTTTGATCTTATAAAGACTCTTTATATAGTTGTAAGCTAAGATTTTGGGGATATTTTAGTCTTCAAGTAATTTTAGAGGACCTCAGACTTGAAGAATACGAGTTAGACTTGTTTAGCCAACTTAATTGATCGATCTAAATGTAATTTTGATTTAAGTATTAATTTAAACTTTATTAATCGCTAATTTAACTTGATCAATATATCATAAATTTATAAATTATTTCAAATTTAATATGAATATATCAATAAAATTTCACAAATCTACAAGAGTCTTAGTTTCATTTGTTCTCTTTTCAAAATGCTTATTTATTTTCCATAGAGGTCAAACTCTGTCTGTATACATCTACTCTCCCTCTCCAAGTTCTCGTGTCGGTTGAATATCTTTTCTCTCTTGATTGTCGAATTATAATTTTATTTAAATTATACATTTATTACATTTATACAATAATAAATAATATTTATTCTATTATTGAAAAATAAACAATCATAATCACTCAATATTCAAATTTAAATATAACATTTTAATCATTTAAACATACAATTAAAATCTAAAAAAATCGATACAATCTCGTTTAACACGTATAAATACGCTCACAAATCTAGGTTCTATACAAATGGTAATTTACATCTGTGGGATATAATTACCATGGGCTCGTAAGAAAAAAAAAGATTACCATCTTGATTTTTGAATATTCCAAATCAACCGGCTCCGCCAGGTTTATTTCTTCTCACTTTCTAGAAGTTTCCGACGGTTCAAACCATGCGTTGCTGACTCGGCATTTCATTTCTTTTTCACCAAGACAACCACTACTCACGTGACTTTCCCCTCACTAGTCACGTGACTCCTCCCTCCCCTAATACTCCTTTATATTCCGCACTACAGCCATACATTTCTTGCTACATTGACTGTGGTTTACACCATAACCTAATTTCTCTCTCTTACATCTTTGCTTAAGCTTTCATACTCTTTTTTTTCTTAGCAATGGCAAACGGAAAGATCAAAATCGGAATCAACGGTAACTCTTTTCTCATTTTTATGTTTAATTAGTCGGATCTGCGGATCTGCTTGTGTTTGGTAGTGTGTGATGTTGATTTTTTGTTTTTCAATATTATTGTTTGAAATAGGATTCGGTAGAATTGGTCGTTTGGTGGCTAGAGTTGCTCTACAGAGAGATGATGTTGAACTAGTTGCAGTGAATGATCCATTTATTTCCACTGATTACATGGTATTGTTTGTTGATGACCAGATCTCTTTACTCATTTATGTGCTTAGACTAGATCTGTAGAGGGGATTAACTTGGATCTGTGTGGTTGGTGTAGACATATATGTTTAAGTATGATTCAGTACATGGACAATGGAAGCATCATGAGCTAAAGGTCAAGGATGAGAAGACACTTCTCTTTGGAGAGAAGGCTGTTACAGTTTTTGGAATCAGGTATTTTTTTTGTTCCAGTGAATAAATCATTGTGTTTAGTTCAGTTTAGTTTTTTGCTGAAGGGATTTCGACTATTGTTAAGGAACCCTGAAGATATCCCATGGGGTGAAGCTGGTGCTGACTTCGTTGTTGAATCAACCGGTGTCTTCACTGACAAGGACAAGGCTGCTGCTCACTTGAAGGTATGTGTGATTGATTGATTTTTCTATCTGCATTTCTGTTGTTAGATTTGATCTATGATGCACGCGTATTTTTGAAACTTGTTGAATATAGTTATGAAACATCTTAGATCTTGTTTGTCAGTGTTAGATCTACATTTGCCGAGAAAACAAAGCGAATTAATTTACTTGGATGTTTGTCTGTTCAGGGTGGTGCCAAGAAGGTTGTGATCTCTGCTCCTAGCAAAGATGCTCCCATGTTTGTTGTGGGTGTCAACGAGAATGAATACAAGCCAGAGCTGGACATTGTCTCCAATGCTAGTTGCACAACGAACTGCCTTGCACCTTTGGCTAAGGTTATCAATGATAGGTTTGGCATTGTTGAGGGTCTCATGACCACTGTCCACGCCATGACTGGTGAGTCTTTTCGCAGTCACTGTGAGATTTGGATGTGTTTGAATTTTATATCTAGTTATTAACCTGTTGTAATGATTTGTTACTCAGCCACCCAGAAAACTGTTGATGGTCCATCCATGAAGGACTGGAGAGGTGGAAGAGCTGCTTCATTCAACATCATCCCTAGCAGCACTGGTGCAGCCAAGGTAGTTATTGGATATATATACCAGTGTCATTACTTTGACTTGTTGTCTAATTTGCAAATTCATGTCTTTCAGTAATGACAGAGCTATTAGACTTGGTAGTTTGTATTATCTTTGATTTAGTTGCATTCACTATAATGTAGGCTGTTGGAAAAGTGCTCCCACAACTTAACGGCAAATTGACTGGAATGGCCTTCAGAGTACCAACTGCTGATGTCTCCGTTGTCGATCTTACTGTAAGACTCGAGAAAGAAGCCTCCTATGAAGACATTAAGGCTGCAATCAAGTAAGTTTCAGTTTGATCACTTTGTGTTGTTTTTGGTTGGTCCCTTGTGCAACAAAGACTAACCTATTTGTGTGTTGTTGGTTCATAGGGAGGAATCAGAGGGTAAATTGAAGGGTATCTTGGGATACACTGAAGATGATGTGGTTTCCACAGACTTTGTTGGTGACAGCAGGTAATATACTTTGTTCAGTTCACTCATAAGGGGGTCGTCTTGAATTGTATTTGAGTTTAGTTTAATGTGAAATAATAACATTTGGTGTAGGTCAAGCATTTTTGATGCCAAGGCTGGAATTGCTTTGAGCAAGAATTTTGTGAAAGTTGTGTCATGGTATGACAACGAATGGGGTTACAGGTAATGCTGTGTGCTTTTAGCTTTTTCTCTTTGACACATTGACACTAGTGAAGTTTTAACACCACCATATATGTATGTATTATGTTTTGCAGTTCCCGTGTGATTGATTTGATCTGCCATATGGCTAAGGCTTGATTGATGCTGCTGGGGAGCAAAAGACAGCAATGTGTTTTAGTTTTTGCTTGGAAGTACTATTAGTTTTGTGGGCCTGGAGTGGTCTTTCTTGTTTATGTGTAATTGAATAACCAGAGAAGAACGGAACCCTGTTGTTATCTTTGAGGAAATCTTTTTTATTGTTTGACTTTGTCATGAATGAAACAATCAAACTTTACTTTTCTCTTGCCTTTTGTTATCCTATGTGTTCTACACATCCCTCCTATTTTCATTGAAATATCTTTTCTTATCTTAATTTTAATATTCCAACTTGGCTACTTTTGTTAGATCGACAAACAAATTCAGTTCGACTTCAAAATCTACAATTTTATTGAAGAGTAAGAAGAATGCATAAAGAATTGAAGCAATTTTTGATATTTTCATCATTTATATAGGAAAAGGGACAAAAATAGCCATAAGTCTGACTAGTTTTAATAATATCAAGTTATTGTCCCCTGGCCATTTGCAAAATTATCATCACCGCTCTATCGGATGGAAAACCTCAAATCAAAAAAAAATATTTTCTTTTAATCCCAACAATGGCTCTCCGTTGACGTTCCTCATGTGAATAGTAACACGCGAGGCCTTTGAAAAATAGAGATTATGCTTTATTTATTTTTCATTTTTCATTCAATGATAATGGAGTTTGATTATTTTGAATTCATATATTCCGTAAGTTCTCATTTGACGAGGATATACCAAATTTGTTTGGACTATTTTTCAAATTCTGTTTTCTACTCATTCTCTTCTTTTTGGTATCATGTCAACGGTAGATATCTATATTGAATTGAGAGATAAGTGTTAAAAATACACTTAAACTATTCACTTTTTTTGAGTTTGATATCTAAACTATTGAAAGTGTGAATTTCATATTTAAACTATCACTTTTTAGTTTGAGAAACATGGTGTGTGTAGTGCACTCTCTCTTTTATATGAAAAAACTTTGACACATTACATTCCACATAGATAAAATATTTTATTTAGATAAAAATTAAATAATAAAAAATTAATATTAATTAAAAATTAAAGATTACTATCCATACAAAAAATTAAATTATTTTTCTTATCTCACTCCATCACCTCCTCCACGTACCCCCTCCCCGTGACAACCCCATCCTTTTTTAAAAAAAAAAATCATTTATAAAATATTTTTAAAAATTTCATATTTCATCTTTTCCCCTCCCTCTCTCCCGATAGAAATTGATATTATTTTATTTTAAAAAATCTACCTCATCCTATTCAATTTTTCACTCCTAATTTTTATTTTTTTTATGTTTCTTATTTTGTGTTAGATATGCATGTACATATATTTTTAGAAAAAAAAAATTCTATTAGTGTACCTAATATAACATAAACAACTAAAAAATATAAAAAGTCTTGTGGCGGCAAGTAAAAAATATTTTTGACATGTATATCTAAATACTGGGAAAAAAATTGAAAGCGAAGGGTTAAGTGGGATGGGTAGAATTATATTTTTAAGAAAATAAAATAATATCTAAATTAGTATTTGATTAAGGGGAGGAGATGATGTAAAAAATTAAATACTTTTATAATAGAAATTTGAAAAAAATAAAAAAATTTAAAAAATGGTGTGGGATAAGAAAAATATTTTACATTTTATTTTATAAAGAAAACATTATTTTTTATAATAATTTTTTAATTTTTAATTTTAACTAATATTAATAATTTTTTTTTGTCAAGGTTGAATATTTGTCAATGTGGAATATGATGTGGAAATTTTTTAAAATAAGAGAGAGAGAATGTGTATTACACATACCATGATGAGAGTGGTATAAAAGAGAGAGATGTGTTTCTCAAACTAAAAATTGATAGTTTATGTATGAAACTCAAACTTTCAATAGTTTAGGTATGAAACTAAAAAAAAAGGTATAGTTTAGGTGTGTTTTTGACACTTATCTCATTGAATTGAACTCACGCCTAATTTTTATGAATACACAATTTCCCTCATCTTCTTTTTTCGTAAGGATATTTTAGATATATTTATTATATATTTATACTTTTATTTCAAAAATATATTGATTTCATTTAATATTTTGTCATAATATATAATTATATATTGTTGGTTATAAAATTATAAAGTCAAAAAATAAAATCTATTTTCTTTTCTGTTGTATTAACTATTATATTATTATTAGTCTATTTTTTTAAAAGATAGAAGAATTTTATTATTTAACTACGTTTAAAATAGTGTAAAGAAATCATTCTGTACGGTGCTTTTGTTTTTGTTAAAAAAGGATAAAGATTAGCCGTTGCATCGTCACTTACCCTCTGTTTGGATCAGTGCTCCCCATTATATTGTATTGTATCATTATCATATCCACAATGTTTATTTTGATTGTTACTTAAAATATATCGTATTGTATTGTTAAATTTTTTGTTATGTAACAATGAAAACTCTCATTTTATGGAGCAACCGATTTGGTGTGTTTCATATTACTATTTTACCATTTGCCCTATATTATTTAATTCTAGTCAACTTCACACCTTTGATGTCACGACCCAAAACGAGCCGCGAGTGGCACCCACACTTATCCTCCTAGGTGAGCGAACCAACAAATCTAAACCCGAACATTTACCAGTATATCAATTATGAGTAGTAAAAATACTGCGGAAGATCCAAAACTTATTAACGTAATCAATTAAATAACTTCTAAAGTTTAATATTTATTAATCCCAAAATCTGGAAGTCATCACATCAAGAACATCTATCCTCAAATTTCTAAAAATCTAAGAGTATTTAAGAAGCTAAAATAAGTAAAAAAAAAATGGTCCATGTCCGAACTTCAAAGACATCAAGACGGGAGGGAGAGAATCCAGTCCGAGCTAGGAATAATAGCTCACCCTGAAATCTGATGTGTTGGAGACTGGCTAGAGTTGAGGGCGAGTCGAAGTCGATGGTGCACTTACTGCACTCCACAAACAACAAGAAGAAAATACAAGTAGGGATCAGTACAAGGAACTCGTACTGAGTAGGTATCATCGGTCAACTCAAAATAGAAAGCAGTATATACTGAATAATAATATAAAATCAACCACAATACTTAACAGGTGACAAGCAACAAGTACAAGAACCATTGGCAACAACACCAAGCACACCTATGAGGACTCAAGCCTCCACACCATACTCATTTGGGAAATAGGTTCTTCAAATTTGAGCATATTAACCTAATTCAAGATTCCTTCTCTTTATTATTATCGTTTCGGAACGTGACACTCCGATCTCCTAATACGTGTCGAAACGTGACACTCCGATCCAATATTACCGTGTCAGAACGTGACACTCTGATCCAATATTACCGTGTCGAAACGTGACACTCCGATCCATTTATCTCATTATTTTATTTCAATCAAGTCTTCTTTATGTCAAGGCGTCATCTTAATAGAGAGGATTTAAGATTGAAGGTTCAACAATCTCATCATTCTAACCAACCACAACTGCACAATCAAAACATACAATCACACAATCAAGTACATAGGAGGCTTTACAATATCACTCAATACATATCAATCGCTATTTAGAGTTTATCTATCAAACAGAAATAAACCATAACCTACCTCCACCGAAGAATCGTGATCAAGCAAGCTACCTCCCCAATGCCTTTGAACCTTTTCAATCTGAAGTCTAAGTCACTTGCTTTCTTCTTCGTTCTCTCTCTCTCGCTCGTTCTCCCTTTCTGTTCTTTTTATTTTTCTTCTCCAGATTCTTTTTCTTTTACCCTAATTATCATATAATCCATTATGATAAAAGTAACCCACTATTTATTTTCCTATTATCTTCTTTAACCCCCAAGTAAATAAATTATTGAACTTACCCCACTAATTTCATAATTATAATTATGAATAGTTCAAAACTACCATTTAAATTTTTAGCGAAAATCCGACCTAGGGTGGAGTTACGCAGCTTGTGACGGTCCGTCGTATCTACGACGGTCCGTGATGCAGTTCTGTCGTGAAGTTCAGAGAGTCGATTGATATACCGTGGTTTCACGGTATAATTAATACCTTTTTCTTAAGTTTATTGTGTCCG